AATTGAAATTCCCAAGAAGTTTAGGGGAAATATATACAACATAATGAACAACAAATACCTTAAGTGGTGCTTGTGGGAAAATGGGAGGTTGTTATTAATTAAAGAGAATGAATAAGAAATTAAAAATGTAGAGAAATAACTGCAGTTTAGAAAACTTTATTTAGTATTAACTATTACTATTACAAGGAAAATCTGTTGCCATGGACCTCTCCAGAGTGATTAAAAGCAACGATGTCACTCTAGAGACTAAGGTGTGCCTAATCCGGGCCATGGTCTTTGCAATTACTTGTTATACTTCAGAGAGCTGGTGCCCAGAAAACACATAGGTCTGTCTTGGAGAAGGTTCTCCTTGAAGGCTAGGTTTTTGAAGCTCCATCTCACATACTTTGTGCACGTGGCCAGGAGAGAGAAGCCCTTGAGGCCCTTGGAAAAGGACACCATGCTTGGAAGGGTCAAGGGATGACGCAGGAGAGGAAGACCCCAGATAAGATGGATTGACACAGTAACTAGGGCAATGGGTGTTAGTGTGCCGGGATTAGTGAGACTGGCTCAGGATAGAGAAATGTTCAGAGTTGCTGTACATAGGGTCGCTATGGATCACAGGTGACTTGATGGCACATAGCAACATTACATAACAACAAATGAACATTACCAAGGTTGCTATGTAACAACATTACATAGTATGCTATTGTATGCTAAGTCAATGTCCTAGGAAGAAGGATTGGCCATCCACTTCCGAAATCACAGGCCTTCGAAAATGCTATGTACTATTAGAGAACTCTTGTACATAGAGTTGCTATGAGTCACAAGCGACTTGATGGCACATAGCAGCAACAACAACGAAGTCAATGTCAATGTATCATGTGATAAAACACAAGATTTCCAGTTAAATCTTAATTTCACATAAAGTACAATAACAAAATTGCTTAGTATAAGTATGCCCTAAATATTGTAAGGAAAATTACAACATTTGTTGTTAATAAAAAATAAAATTTAACTAGCAGTCCTATCTGTAATGGGTAAATCTTCTCACCACAATTTTGATATGGAAATGTAGACTCAAAAGCCAAAAAACTGAAAATCCGTCTCATTGTGGTCCTCCATCTCATTTCCAAGGCTTTAAATTATAACAGGAAGCGACTGATCATCTTTCTCACATGGCGCTGCTTGCGGATTCACACTGCCAGAGATAAGTTTCCGTTTTTATCAGTGCAACTCACTACAAACTACACCACCAGAGCTCCCAAGATTAGACTTGTTACGTGCTGTTACCTTGACTGTGACTTAAAGCAACCCTCTGAACAACAGATCAGAATCCTGCTCTATCCTGTGCCATCATCACCTCTGAGATATTTCAATCCATTGTTAAACTCACTGTGTCAACTGATCTTGCTGAAGGTTTTCCTCTTTTTCATTGTATCTCCACGTTTCCAAGCATATCTCTCTCTAAGGACCCCTCCTAAAACTG